AAGGAAAACTCGGCGTGTTATCTTTGCGATTTGTATCAAGGGGCGCGTTATAAATTACAACTCAACGGGACATTGAAAAGTTTTGTAGAAAACATTTATCTTCCGGGATAATTAAAGGAGTAAAAGGATTAAAAATGCGTCGCCGGTTGTCGTATCGTCTGCAAAGCGCAAGACCGCTAATTAGTACACAACTGCAATTTCCTGAATTATAATTAAATTCCGATGGTAAACGTAGAAGAAAAAAAACAGAACAACGCGCGATAAATCCAGCGCCGTATCGCCTAAATTTCGTTCGGTTCGTTAAAATCGCGCCCGGAGGCGGCGGCTCGTCCCTCTTCCCGTTCGTTATTAAATTTTTCAGATTAATCGAATTATACCTTCTCGCTAATGAACTTGTTGCGGAAATATAATTAGAGATAAGGTGTCCCGAAAGCGTCGCTACGCCGGGCCGTCGCGACGTCGATCGATACCATTTCCACAACGTTATTTTGTCATTTGTCAGAAAAATTATAACCCGCTAGAAATTTCAAATAAATTTTTCAAACGCTCTATCAACATCTCGAGAAACGTCAATGGGGTATATAACAACTCCTAGGGGTTACTGGAGACAACTGGATAGCGCCATTGTCGTAAATGCGACGTCGTCATTCGCGCCCCTGCTCCTGCCATCCTGCTGATAACATACATGGCGCAGACAGTTCCATCACGCAATTATCAACTAATAATGTTTGTAATTAATTGAATCAGCGAACGCGTACAATTTCGCTAAAATCTGCTTACATTACAATGAAACGGGCGTCTTAAAATTGCATTTTCTATTGTGTTGCGTTAAGGAGGACGCTTAAACCTCGCACAATAGGGGACGGCGTTATCAAACGTTATCGCTAAGCGTCGCCGGATATAAATTGAGATACCTATCTGGGCGAGAATAAGGGAATAGAGGGCGAGGATTCCTGGCCCTATTCACTAAACGGGTTGATTAGCGTTCAAGTCGAAATCCACTATTTAGGATCATCTAATCGCTGGTGTCTTGTAAATAGCGTAAAATCCTTACACCTATTTTCAAAGCAATTACAAGCATGTTAATTTTTAGCTGGGGCGTTGAATTGGCTGCAAAAATATACTGCTCCACAAAAGTTCACAATATATTGAGATTATTTGAAAGTTGCAGGTTTTTTGATCGATTAGTATGAGTTGTATTATAGAGGATGGGGCAAAAAATCCACTCAGATATGAGAGAAAACATTTAATTTCGCATATTTAAAAATTTGGTGATTAAAAAATCTGTAACTTTTAAAATAATGGCAAAATTTGCGAACCTTCTTAAGTTTTGTGGAGCAGTTTATATTAAGTTATTGAAGGTTAAATAATTCCAAAGACATTACAACTGATTAGTTGAGTATTTCATATAAATAAGAAAAATAAGGGTAAAATAGAGTAGAGTGTAGAGAGCAAAGAGCAAAGTACTCTCCTGCCTTCCAATTTATCAATGTATACTTTATCATAGTAACTTTTCCACCCCAAATTACATTCGATCCATTTTTGGTTCAATATATTTCCCGTATTACCAATTATCAAACTCATTAACACCGCCAGATATGTAAAAAAAACCAAATTGATGGCAACAATATCATTTCTAATTTCAATTATATCAATTAGCGCGTGCGGTAGGGCAAATGTGCCCCGGTATTAAACGAACCCTCAAAACGGCCGAAAACCGAGGGGCCTCGCATTAAAACCGGCTCCGATTCCGAACTAATGCAATAAACAAAGTTCGGATAAATTTTGCGGATTCCGCGGTCGCAAAGCTTCATGGTATTTTCTTTCGCATTAGCATCGCGGCGCATCCTTATTTATAGAGGCGGCGGATGTACTGCCGGGATTACTTTCCAATCGACGTTGTTATATAAATTTCGCGAACTTTAAATTTGAATTATTTATATACCTACACGAGATGAATAAACTTGCAAATTTCTACGGAGCAGAACCTCGCGAAAAATTACATGTCCTGTATTTCAACGAAGAAAAGCTGTCGAGAGAAGTTTGTATAACGTAAATTATTTACGATTCGCATAGTATAAGAGGATTATTCTAAATTAAAAACAACAACACACTTTATAATACAGTTTATGAAATTATACAAGGGTAATTTGAATGAATATTTAAACGCAGCGTTGCCACGTTAATTTTTTAGTAGGAGTAACAGGTATTTCGGCAAATTCGCGAGGTGCTATCAATTTATTTATTAAACGTCCATCAGCCGAGTGGATTTTATTAGCGAGGAAAACCTAGTAGAAAAAGGAAAACGAATATCCAGCGGACTGTCGCATTGTGTCGATTTCGAATCAATGAACACACCTAAACTCAGATTCGGAGTTGATGGCTCCGCTCCGTGCTGATGTATCGAGAATTAAGGACTTCTCGGGGCTCTCTCGCTGAAAGTAATTGTTCCTCTTCTACTCGTTTTTTTTCGAACGCAGCGCCCGAAAGTTCGGGATAGGAGAATAACGATCGACCGACGAAAATTCCCTTGATTGACGCGCCAGTTATTTTCTCCGTTTCCAACGGGCCGCGCTTCCTTTTTCCCCCAAACACACCCCCGACGAGTCAAAGGAAATTACGACGGTCAATTATATACCGAAATCGAAAGGGTGCGATACAAAAAAAAACCCGTCGAAAATAATTAATTTTTCGTACAGGGTGGCACAATTCACCTGCTTAAAAAAACGCTAATTCCGCCTCGATGTCTCGATAAAAAAAAACCGTTCTGATTTTCCTCGAAAAGCCGATTTAATTGCTTCATTGTGGTCGAAAACCCGCCGGGTAAAAACCGGGAGGATAAATTTACCGAATGGAATTTGTTATACTTGGTTTATTTTTGAACAGTCGGGCGTCCACTTATCGGAAGCGATAATCGAACCGGGGGGCGGCGGGCGGGGCGGCGGGCCGGTGTGTTGGTCGAAAGGGTTAATAAACATGACAAAGGGTCATCAGCATCACGGAGCAGTCAATAGTGAAATTTCATAAACGTGTATACCTGGCGTATGTACTCAATGCAGAACGGATTTGCGTCGATTATAGACCCGGTTTTTTTTCTTGCCGATATCGAATCGTACTTGCGAGTCGTCCGCTGTACGTCCGTCGAATAAATAATTTCAGGGAAAATTAAAAGCGAGGAAAATTGAACGTACAAACTCGCCCATTTTTTTATTCAGCCGGGACCTGCGGGGAAACACGTCCTATTTGCACTTGGAGTTTAACGTGCCCGAAAGAAATTCGAGCCGCTTTTTAAATGGAAATTACCGAAAAAATGTCGAGATTCCTCCGTTCGGCGGGAAAGTGTATTTCGCATTGGTGTTTAACCGGTAACGAATCGATAAAATATTTTCATTTTACCTATTCGAAGCGACTTTTTCCCGTAGGTATCCGCTTTATTTTGCTACATTTTTAATTGATTGGTACAGGCCGTATCGCCGAAACTCAATTTACCTCCCTAACATCGAACGCTGGTTTTTAATTGAATGTTTAGTAAGCCCATTGATTAGCAAAACATGTTATTGCCCGATGAATTTATATTGCTTCGCTACATAGTAATTTTTTTAAGTACATTTAGAGTCAATATTGTCTTGTTTATGGAGAAACTCCTTATAAATATTACAATAATAAACAGTACATACATTTTTAATAATAAAAAGTACAATATTTGTGAATAAGTTCACCACAAAACCTCATTCAATGATGCCTTTGATGAAACTAGTAGAAACGTATCCCTTTTGTAACTAATTTAATTCGAAATTCTCTATAAATAATAACAAAGCAATAGAGTTCGAAACTACTTATACAAACATTTCTAACGAATCTTGACGTTGAAATAATTACTAAATTGATGTAACATATTAGGGGCATTATAAGTCGACGTGGATTCCCTACGTCCTGTCATTATTTCGGAGTTTTAGTGTAATAGGATTAATTAATATGCCTGCAAAACGCTAGGTATGTAGGATTAGCGAGTTGTTTAGGGCTTTCCATTAAAACTACGGTATTAATTAGATACCCGAATGGGTAATACCGATTCTAATCTCGAAATTTATGAAATTTATACAATAGTTTATAACGTCCGTAAACGGGACCGGACGGTATTTTATTTTCTTGCCGACAACGCCCGCCATGGAAAGCAATCTCTAATTGTACCTGCAAAATATACGCCCGTGCGAGTAATTCGAAAAGCTTAATTGGCTCGCTCGCGAATTACTAATGTACCGATTTAATTTATTGAACGGCTATCAGAGGATCAAGCGGAAGAACTTTCCGCGAAAATCAACCGAAACCGATCGAGTTTGCAGGAGTTTTTATTTCAACTCAACTCGTAAATTTATAAGAGCCTTAACTTTCCACAGGCCATTAATAATAAATACCTGCGAAATTCAGAGGGAATTTCTCGAGGCGACTTTTCAGAAATACGGATTAAAAAGCAAAAATAAAAACGCCCTCTGTGAAAAAAAATGTTCTACTTTATAAGTTTGTACAAAAGAGAAAGAGCGGAATCGCCGGGCCGGAAAATAATGTATCAATAGGAATTTCGTTGGTAAAGCGCAAAAAACGGTTAAAGACATTTTTTTATTTATTCACATTATTGTCAATTTTTTTTGCCAGCAAAATATATTAAGTTAAAACAATAAAATAAAAGAAAATAAATTAAAAGAAAATATTAAGTTTCCTCTACAACACATTTCTAATGGTCTAAGAAATCTGGGAGGTCTATAAGAGGTCTACCAGTTCAAGCGTTCTAAAGGTCTAAGATCTCTAAGGGGTCTAAGAGGTCTAAGAGATCTACCAGTACAAGAGTTCTAAAAGGTCTAAGATCTCTAAGGGGTCTAAGAGGTCTAAGAGATCTACCAGTACAAGAGTTCTAAGAGGTCTAAGAAGTAAGGTCTAAGAAGTGCAAAGGTCTATGGGTCTAGATTTGGGCGAAGACCATGTTGTGGATAAAATAGACTTACCAAAACGTATACAGCAAAGGGCATGACAACGACAGCGACCAGCAAATCGGCCAAAGCCAAGCTGACGATGAAGTAATTGGTGGCGGTCTGCAAAGTCCTCTCCCTAAACACACTGAGTATCACTAGCACATTGCCGAAGAGCGTCAGCACCGGGAACAGTACCAGCATCAGCGCCCAGTAGTTGCGCGCGCCCGCCGCCAAGTCCTTGCCCTCGTCGCAGCCGGTCACGTTGCTGGCGTTGAAGATGGCGCCGCAATTGGCCGACACCGTCGCCTCCGAATCGTTGGTCAAATTGATCTTGCTGAAGTACTGGTCGATGTCGTCGAAGAGCAGCATGTAGTTGTCTTTGAGCTGCTGCTGGTCGAAGTCTAGCGATCGATTCGAGACGTTCTGCCAGAAACGGGGATTCACCAAGTCCGTCATTCTGGGATATGGTCTTGTGTTCACCCCCTTTGTTGTTTTTTTAACTTTCTCTACACAGATTTCGATGTATCTAGAAACGTAAGCGGTGCTGGAATTAACTTATCCTACTCCAAAAACCTGAACCAAAGACTATAAATTTAAGTATTTACCTCTAGTAGTTATTAATCATCACTTGCGCACGGAACTTTTTTCTCACAAAACACATCTTATTGTCAATCGGTGCGGAATCGAATCAACCATAATTTAATTGATAACAATTCCCGTTGGAAGCGATCGAATGTTCCCCATCGCGAGGACCCAACCAGCCCGTGATGAAACCCACCAGCATCTTAACCCGATTCGAAATCGCCCGGAAAATGAAAATCTCGCACTGGAACGGACGTAACGAATGTGCAAAAGGAGTCGGGCTGCGCGAGCGCGTGCTGCCGGACCGAGCGTCGGATGCGATATGCGTTCCGACGCCCGGCGTCGATCCGGTACGAAGGAAAGTCAGGCGCCGCCCTGTCTTCCACCGGCGCGTCCCGTGGAAACGGTTTTTCCAGCGATAACGGGACCGGAGAGGTTTTTCTCTGCCGGTACCGAAACGGATTACGGGGTGCTTAAATATGCGTTAGAAAAAAGGCTGCTTTGCGGTGGTTAAAAAGGAATTTATTTAAGTATCTAGTGGTGAAGATTAATTTGGAAAAACGACTGGCTGCGTTCGATACTTGTTCGATTCGTAATTGTCGCGGTAGCGTTGACGATGGTGCGAGTAGCTTTCTTCATTGGGACACGAGCAGTAGCTAGTTCCGTGGATTTCTTCGATACCGAAGAGATCTCTCACGTGGCCAATTATATCTCTTAGAGGAAGATTACCGTGCGAGTGTTCCCCATGATCTGGAAGTTAATCAATTTCTAAATAAACATTTTTGTAGAAGAAAGTGATTAAAAAATGTATTACGCTGGAGGACAGAGGGAACGAAGATTGGAGGAAAACATATTTGAATTCTGTATAACATTGTTAAGTAGGTACTTATGAAATTTAGTAGGTACTTACGTCCACCAATTAGGGCGCCATTTAATAAATGCTCGGCTGTTTCTGCTAAATCGTTGACAACTCTATTAGCAACTCCGTCTACTAATCCCCGGGCTACTCCGTCTACGATTCCGGGAGACGGGGATGAAGCAGCGACAACGAGGAGCGCACTGAGAAGGAACTGTGTAGAAAAATTTCGTGTAAATTGTGATATTTTTTTCGTTAAAAATAAGTTACTTACGGCGATTGATAGCTCCATTTCGTCGGTACAAAAGTGGCTATTAAATTTTAAAACCGAAACTTTTATATACTAATTATCGCGTAATTGATAATTAATAACTTATTAACGATTCGGTATAATTTACGGAGTGCTAAATTACTTTTAAGGCGATTGCGTCACGCCGAAAATACCGTGACGAGTCGCAGCCGGGTTTTCTGTAATGTATAATTAAAAGGAAAAAAAAAATTGAAAACGAGCCATTTCCGAATTTAATTCACGCGTTTCCGGCACGTAATCTCCTCCTGCGAAAAATGTTGCTTTCGAATTCACGGATCCCGGGGCGCAATTTAAAAGCCCGCCAAACTTGAGGGGTTTCTCTAATTTTCCGCACGTACACGCTCCGGCTGGCGGTCGACCGAAGGCGCCGATGAAGCCCCACACATCGAGCGACTTTTTCTTTCGGAACGTATTAAAAGATTTCTCGCAAAGCCTCTCCCGGCCTATGCGCGATCCGGAGCGTTCGAATTGGATCCGCAATCTCCAGGCAAATTGCGCCGATTTTGTTCCACTAAAATAAGTTCGAAACCATTAGTGGCCCCGTGATGTATAAGAAATACGCGAACCGACAAGGGCGTAATTAGTCGAAAAATTCGAGAGGAAAGCGCCATTCTAATTTATTCCGGCGACGCAAAACACTAGTTAATTTTCCGCAGTAATAGAAAGTAATTTGAGCGGATCTTTATTTTCTTAATTTCGCGGAGTAATTAAGTTTTTGTATTTATTAATTACTTTCCGTCGAGTGGCCGCGGTTTTTGTTTTCGTTGGAGCCGGAGCGTCCTCGCCTTTGCGCCCGTAAAGGTTTTAAAAGGGAAATTTAACGAAGGGCGAGCGGGTAATGGAGGTTTCTACCTTTTTCTTTCTAAGCGCTAAATCGAATGCTAATTTTGTTACGAGAGTAAGCGAGGAACGTTTGCGAATTTGTGCGCTAAAATGCACTTTTCTTCGCCTGAAAATGTTTAATCAAATCGGGGAAAAATCTGATCTGCAATTAGCGCTTGAATAACGCGCCCCTTAAGCTAAATCGCGGGTGTGTATTCGAGCCGTTGTCGTCTTGTTACGAACTTTATCAGGCTCGTCTTGAGAAATGTAGGGCGAGGGGAGTCGCAAAATTTGACAGATAGATAATGGCTTCGTTAATTACGATCTGTTTCAGGAAACAACAACCCTATCCCTTCGAGCCACAGTTGCCCCTATTTATTCAGCCAGAGACCGTTTCGACCTGCAAACGCTCGTTAACACCTCGAAAAACCCGTTTTGCTTATACAGTGCGTATAAAAAGTACTGTTTGCGTTGCTGCCAAAGCTGTCAAAAGTCCGGAATGTCAAGGAAATCTTGTAGTCCTCGAAATATACAAAAAAATATTTAAGTAGTATAATTACACCCACAGTTGCCGCTATTTATTCAACCAGAGACCGATTCGCCCCGCAAAAGCTCGTTTTGCTTAAGCGCTCCTTAACACCTCAAAAAACTGCTTTTGCCTATACAGTGCATTGTAAAAAAAGTATGCGGTGTTGCCAAAGCAGTAAAAAATTCACAATGTCAAGGAAATCTTTATTTCTCGAAATCTCCGCGAGCAGTCTAATTACTATAATTATATTGATATAACAACAGTTATGACCTAGTAAATAATCCATAAAACAGTTTCTATAATCGAGATAATGTAACTTATGAACTTTTACTCGTTATGAAACCAAAATCAAAACCATATAGCACCATTATAAAACCACTTGCACCGATATAAAATCAGCTTTATTAAAAATAACGCATTTAACAAATCTTATACTATTTATACAACATCCCAGACTTCCTCGAAAGCTGAACAAAGTTTCGTACAGGTTAGGGCTGCGGATAGGGGGTAATTACTAATGGAAACGGTGTCTTCAGTATAGTCTATGTCAATGCTACCCCGGGCTAAGGCCCCGATAACGAAAACGATGGGTTCTTCATCTTTGGGCACTAAATCTCTACAATTCTTCACTAAATTCGAGGAAAATGATGTACCGATTTTCTTCACACCGACCGGCAGATGATCCGTTATGGGGTTCTTGATAACTTTCAATAACTTAGGGCCGTCTTCAGCACGAACCGAGAACTTGTGCAACAATTGCACTGAAAACAAATCGAGTTAGTTTACAAAAATAAATCCGATGTAATAATAGCATACCGATAAGTCCTGCGAATCGTTTAAAAGTCCTGGGTATCCTCGTTTGCGGATTGATTTCTATTAATATGTTATTGGCCGTGTGCACGTAGACTTGCAATAGTCCTGCCCTGTTTAAAGGACTGTCGAATAACATCAATAAACATTGGTGGGTTATATCCGGTCGACAGGATCCCACATCACGATTGTTGCTGCGTAAAATGTGCGTGTGATCGTCGCAGTTTAACAGTTCGAATTTATTGCCCACCTAAATGAAGTATAGAGATTAGAGATGATAATTTGATGCGTAATTCGTGCGGTTACCTTAACAGTTTCGAGTTGTGCACCTTCCAGGATGACAATGAGACGTTTTTCTTGGTTTTTTAAATGCGCCACAACCAGGTGTTTGGGCATAGGATCGAATTCGAATTGGTCTTCTTTGGATTCTTTTAACTTTCGTTTTTTACCCATGTTTGTGTGGAAGTTAGAACTGGTACTTGAGAAGTTTGTGTACAATGTACATAACCTATAAAAAGACAACGTGTTTATAACTTCTTCTTTTCTGTGATGCTTGAAGTTTGAAGTTTGTAGTCAGAAGTAGGCCTCTTACTTGGTAGCTATATAATTACTTTTTATTTAAGGAGTGAATTTGGAGTGAAATTGTATTGTTTGATGATCATATTGTATTTAGGTAATAATTTATTTAAATTCAATGCATTTTTTTGTTTAAAATTGTGTATTAAAGGAATAAAAATAGTAAAAAAATAAGTTGGCTACATAAATATCACCAAACGACAAATGACAATGACAAGACATTTGACGTTCGGCCATTGTAGTTGAGAAAGGTGGTAACAGAAGGAAAGCACGCGGTGGAAGCAGCGGAATTTAGTTTATTATAGAATTTTTTTAACGAACTCCTCGACGATTTATAAAAAGCAAGTGCACAATATGTCGAACAATACGGCCCCCGACAGTTGGGAATCTCAGGCTGATTCCACATCGACGAACAATTCGCCACAACACACTACAAATATGACAGCTCAATTTTCCACGTTGAACGTTAATGCTGTCGAATTTGTGCCTTCGTTTTCGTTCTCGAAACCCGCTGATGCCGATGTAGTCGAGAACGAATCACCAACTAGTTCGCAAGGATCAAATTCATCGCCCAAACATAGCCCGTTATTAAACGGTAAGTTTCCGTTCATTACCATTAGTCATATGGGATTAGGTTAGGCTAGTCTAGACCGTTCACCCCCCTCCGCGCTGGCCTTTTTCTCTACGTACCGGATATTTTATTAAATTTAGTACACCATATGGATTGATCCGATCAAATCCACGTCGATAAACGCTCGATAGTTCCGCACGAAACGAGTAACATAAGGTGCATTATCCGCTTCGGTTTAAATTTAAATTTTGACGTACACAATATTTGTTTAACGAATTTCGAAACAACAATAAAATTATCAGCACTTGTAAACCAGTTATATCTAGTTTCGGTGCGGCAAACCCACGTATCTCGATTAAATTCAGAATGTCCTTAATCCGCGCAGGTAACGTCGGGGACACCTTAGTCGAAAGGGTGGAAGTCAAAGAGCCGCCGCCCATCCCGCCGGCCGACGGGGACGCATCCCCGGCGGGCGAGGGCGGCACGTGGGAGGACGTGGCCGACGAGGACAGCACGTCGGCCTCCGCCCCGCCGGCCACCACGCCGGAGGGCGACGACGACGAGGAGCCCTCGTCGGAGGAGGCGCCGATCAAAATCAAAAAGAAGCCCGCCGTCAAGGAGAAGCCCGAGGAGGACAAGAAGGAGCACATCAACGTGGTGTTCATCGGACACGTGGACGCCGGCAAGAGCACCATCGGCGGCCAAATCATGGCCTTGACCGGTATGGTCGACAAGCGAACGTTGGAGAAGTACGAACGAGAAGCCAGAGAAAAGAGCAGGGAGAGCTGGTATTTGAGCTGGGCTTTGGATACCAATCAAGAAGGTACTGTTTTACGCACCTGTATGCATTATCATTTAATCGATCGAGTGTATTTTCGTTTCGCAGAAAGGGATAAGGGAAAGACGGTGGAAGTCGGTCGTGCCTTTTTCGAGACGGAAAAGAAACATTTCACGATTTTGGACGCTCCCGGACACAAAAGTTTCGTGCCTAACATGATCGGCGGAGCGGCGCAGGCCGATCTCGCCGTGCTGGTCATCTCGGCGAGGAAAGGGGAATTCGAGACGGGATTCGACAGAGGCGGCCAAACCAGGGAGCACGCCATGCTGGCCAAAACGGCGGGCGTTAAATATCTCGTGGTGCTTGTAAATAAAATGGACGATCCTACGGTCAACTGGGACGAAGCTAGGTACGTGTACGATTACACGAAACAGCCGATCAAATGTACTTAAATCGTTTCGTTTTGCAGATACAACGAGTGTAAAGACAAAATTCTTCCTTATCTTAAAAAACTAGGTTTCATTTTGAACAAGGATTTGTACTTTTTGCCTTGTTCGGGCCAGACGGGCCAAGGTTTGAAGGAGAAGATAGACGAATCGATTTGTTCGTGGTACAGGGGCGAGGCGTTCATACCGTTCATAGATAGTCTGCCGTCGTTGACGAGAAAAACCGACGGGCCTTTTATAATGCCTATTGTAGATAAATATAAGGATATGGGTACAGTGCTGATGGGCAAAGTCGAATCGGGCGAATGTAAAAAGGGCCAAACGATGCTCATCATGCCGAATAGGGTAAATAATCTATCAAATATCGTGTAATGAATCAAATTATTTGTGTGTTTGTGGGATTTCCAGACGCCCGTCACCGTCGATATGTTGCTATCGGACGACGACGAAGTCAATCGGGTGATACCCGGCGAGAACGTCAAAGTGAAAGTCAAAGGTGTGGAGGAGGAGGACGTCAGTCCGGGTTTCGTCCTGTGCGATTCCCTCAATCCGATACACACCGGTAGAGTGTTCGACGCCCAATTGGTCATATTAGAACATAGATCGATCATATGCGCGGGTTACAGTGCCGTCATGCATATCCATTGCGCAGCCGAAGAGGTCACCGTCAAAGTAAGTGCGCTGTTTTCTATCGCCAATTGAGCTCAAAATTCTGCAAAAAATCATGAGAAACCTCTATTGAAATCGTATTGAAGCCCCGAAATGGAGTTTTGCAGAATTTAAGTGTATTAAAGGATCATGCAGTTGGGTCACGGTCATTACTAAGAGACAATTCTTCCTGCTGTCACTTGTCAATTTTTTTAATGACAGTAGTTAGGGAAATTGGGGGAGTTTAATGATTGTATGCTTACCGATTACCTGCATAATCCTGAATTGAGGCTCATAATTTCAGATAAAACGATCCAATGACTTTCAAAATTTCACAAATCGTTATACATAGTACTAACCATAGTTACTAACCAAAATTTTTATGAATAACTGTTTAAAATATTCAAAAATCTCCTCATAAACTCCTTATTCCTTGATTCTACCGAGTTCTATCCTGTGTATCCTACAGTTCCCGTTCAAAATCTGTTAAGTATCCATTTTTTATTTGTATCTTATACATAAGTAACGAACAAATCTTATAATTTTTGCTCGTTTTATGGAAAATTGTGTCTGATTTTAATCGTTGTTTCGCAGGCCTTAATATGTTTGGTAGATAAGAAAACGGGAGAGAAAAGTAAAACTCGCCCGAGGTTCGTCAAACAGGATCAAGTAGCTATTATGAGAATTGAATGCGCCGGAGTGATTTGCTTAGAACCGTTTAAGTTTATGCCGCAAATGGGCAGATTTACGTTAAGAGATGAAAGTAAGTTGATATTAATCAATATTAAATCCTTAATAATATTTTTATTGTTTTTTAGATAGAACAATTGCCATCGGGAAAGTACTGAAACTGGTGGAATAAGAAGATTGGATGTGGTGCATCTTGAAACAGACTGTTATAGATCTTTAAAAATTGATATTTCATCTAAAAAAAAACAAAACGCGAACTGATCGTTTAAAGGACATTTTTCAATTATATTCAAATTAAAAATCAACCGTTTATTAAGCGGACGCCACACATACGTTTTTTTACATACGAACCCACACGAAATAAATAGCGGTATTGATTGTCGGCTGAGCAGAGTTGTTTTGTTGACTTATTTTGTTTTTTCATTGCTATTATTACTGTTTTTTTTTTGTATTATTAGAACAAACTCTCGAAACTTTACCAAATAATAATAACTGTTGAAAGTTCTCGACGGAAACACATTTTGTATCTACTCGAACGGTTTTTTTTTTATTTTATACATTTAGATATTGGTCTGGATGATTAACGATCGATCGATCGAACGCTTCACTGTGTTGTACAGTGTATTTTCTTTTAATATTAATGGATTTTGATATATTTATCTATTTGGTAATTGGGTTTAATAAATTTATGTTGTACATACAGGGTGTTAATTAATTGAGTGCCGATACTTCACTATGTGAATATTTGGATGATTTTAAGAAGAAAAGTTTAAATCAATATATGTCCTAAACCTCTTAGTTTTCAAACTACAGGGTCTTACAGTTTTACAAAAAAAACTTTTCTATCGTAATTTTATAATTACTCCAGATATTTTTATGAAATTTCGGACTTGGACGTTACTGGTAATAGTAGAAAATTAATTTTTGTTCCCTAAAAAAAGTATTTCCATGCATAGTGGGCGCCTAACAAATTTCAACAATAGATCAAAAGCAATGAACTTGGAAAAAAATGGTTTTGGTTTTTATTTTTTTAGCAAAAATGGTGCGTCGTACGAAAATAGGTCTTCCAACCAAATTTGCTTCAAAATAAATGAGGATTTTAAAAATAATTTTGGTTTTTAGAAAAAGCAGTTGCGATCCATTTTTTTCTTCAACTAAATTCAGTTCAAAACCCGTACGGACGTCGCTGATAAATTAAAAAAAATCTTTTGCCTTAAAAATGCTCATTAATAATTAAAAAGTGTGTACAAAATTTCATAAAAATATCTGGAGTAATAAGAAAATTATGATAGAAAAGCTTATTGATATAAACTTTTCTTCTTAAAATCCTGAAGTATTGTACACTCGATTAATTAACACCCTGTATAAGAGTTAACTCTAATTTAATGAAAATTTCTCGAAGACGAGCAACCATCAACTCGGAATCGTTTTAAAGAAAGTTGTTGGCAAATTGTTACGTTGTTTTTATCTTCTAATTTTGCTCAGTTGTGCTTTGTTCTTGTTGAATTATATCGAGCGCTGTGTGTATTTTTAGTTGTGTGGCGGCTCTCGTAACGTTAGTTATTAAAAAGACGAGTTATTGATTTGTCGTGTTTTTTAAAAATTATATTATTTGATTAAAAGGTGCTTATCGATAACGTGGATTTTTGGAGACGAGTTGAAGGTATTTCGGCCTATTCGCTGCGATTTTTTTTGTTGCTAAATTTCGAAAGTTTTCGTGACAAATACCTTCTGACTCTCGCCTGAAAATTAACATTTGATTATCTGTAAATATATCATACCTACATACATACCTACAATATTGTAATAAAAAATGCCTTTAATACACTACAGCCGATGTATTTTGAATTGGGAATTAATAAAATTGAAAAGTTGCTTTTTTGACAATTTGCGTGACGAGTACATTCAAACTCCCCCGAACATTAAATTCTTTATTCTTCGAATAAATTGTTACAAAAAAAATATTTTTAATTTCAATAACAGTTTCCTTTAATAAAGTTATTTTACAAAATAAAAATACGATGACATATACAAAACAAATCGAGTTAGTCTTTTTTTGGCACTTTGCTTAGTTTGCCTGAATACACTAACATTAGGACCAGAATATTATAAATATCTAAAAAAAATCTCTCAATCACACACTTATTTACACGGCATTTTATTCGCATGAATAATTCGAATAAAATTTCACACACGCATCCATTTGATTAGTTAAAAACGTAGAAATTCTTATATTGTCCTCATAAATAAATAAAAATACCACAGGTATAGGCACAAAACACTCTTTTAAGGCACATTTAGAACAACATCGTGATTTAGCTCCGCTAAAGCGACTCGAATCCGGATATATCGCTTCCCTGCAAATAAAATACAATTAATTCACCTCATCTACCGCCCTTCCACTAAGAAAACTCACCCTATCTGGCTTGTACAGGTGCGTATGGGGTAGCAAAAACGTCGAACCCAAATCCCTCTCTGCCATTGTATTCGCCTCCTAAAACAACCCAAAAAACTTAACCAAAAACATCACCCCAACTCGCGCATTCTTACATCGTTGTGATGAGAAGAGTGCTTCGAATCGAAATCCGCCCGAAGAGACTTCATAGGCGGTGGAATGGTCGTTTCGTCACAAGATCTAGCCTCAGATACAGTCCTACCAACAAACCTAAATCACTCAACAATCACCCTACAATTTACAAACTTACATCACTCTGGGTAACATATCCAACCAATTGGAATCGCTCGCGTTGATATCGCTACCCAAATCGTCATCCCTACAAAACAAACAATCAATCATCTCATCAGAAACGCCGCGCAACTCTTCCACTCACCCCAGGGATTTCCTCAACGTGTTGAACTGCGACCTGGTGCCCGTGCTCGACAGCAGATCCGCGCTGATCTTCTGTATCAGCGTGGCGTTCTCGCTCCTGTCCGCTTCGGTGCCGCAGGTGGTGCCCAAGGTGCCCGTGTGGCCCACGGTGGCGGACACCTCGAATCCCGCCGATATCAGAGCGCCCGAGGTCTTCCTCGAGCTCGACTTGTCCGGTATGGACTCGCTGCGGGCGTTGCTGAACTTCCTCGGCGCCTCCGACTGGAAGACGACGATCGATTGAAGCGCGCTGCGAGGCGAGCGCGAGAGGCTTACCTTGCTGGGCGACGGGCCGGCGTCCAAGAGGCTCAGCAGCTTGGTTTCGTTGGAGACGATCGGCATGGAGGGTTTGCGGACGTCGAAGCTGGTGTAGTTGCTCAGAGGCGAGGTGGGCGGCGCCGGGTGGTATTTGGCTCTCGGTATCATTACAGTGAGCGAGCGGTCCTTCTGATCCTCGTAGGATACGGTTGGCAAGGCGTCGTTTCTGTCCGATACTTGCAGGGATACTTTGGACGTCTTCTTAGGGGGGTTCTTGGGTTTCTAAAACGTGGAAGAATCAGTTGGTGTACTTAGGTGTAATGTGATTGTAAACTAACCTTAACGTAACGCGAAGTTTCTGATTTGTTGTCGTCTTCTGAGCTGGTGTCTTGGATCATAGCTCTTCTATCCAGAGCGCTTCTTCCACCGTTGCCTTGAGGTAGGAAATTAATACCACCTGCTACACCTGAACTCCTAGGTTTGCCTTTCATGCACGTTAGGATTATGCAAGTTAGCAGTAAACCAAACAACAATGTTCCTACAGTCACTAAAGCTATTAGGAGAACTAAGGAAAAAACAACTAAAGTTATTACCAGGAACGAGCTGCGTTAGTTAACATCGACTCACCTTTGAGATTAATGTGGCAAAATTGGCCGGTGTACCATTGGAAGCACTCGCACAGCACCTCCTCGGATCCCCTGGAGTAGCAGGTACCGTGGTAGTTGCACCTCTCGCAGCCGACCATCTCCGCCGAGCAGATCCTGCCGGGATAGAGCATGTTCTCGGACACGTCGGCGTAGCCCTCCTTGCAGCTGCAGGAGTACGTGCCCTTCAGATTGAAGCAGCGCGCGTTCTCCGAGCAATCGTGCAGGTGGGAGCGCGTGCACTCGTCGAAGTCTTTGACTTTCAGGTCCATCAAAGGCGACGAGTAGATGTCGGTGCCGCCGAGGCTGAGGCTGTTGTTGGAGAGGTAGTTTTTGAGGATGTCCTCCAGGCGTTTCTCCTCCATGTTCTCGGATAGCTGCAAGTAGGATTTGCTGATGATTCCGGCCGCGCCCGGCTCGAAACCGTAGACTTTGACGCCGTGGTAGGCGTCCCGCAGGTCGGATTGCATCACCATTCTGTCGATGGCTTCGCCGGTGGCTTGGGTGAATTTGTAGTGCTCGGTGGAGTTGGGGTTCTTCAAGTCGTCGTAGAAATGCAGGCGGTCTCTGCCTATCCTGTCTAAAGTTAGCTCCAAGTCGTACGTGTAAGTAGCTGTAAGTTGGTACAAAGTTAGGTATGTGTAAATGTGGTGTTGGTGTATTGTCTCACGTAAACAAGGTCTATCGGGGAACATCCTAGCGAAGCCTGGCCTGCAGATGCACCGTAAAATCCCGTCGATTTTCTGGCACAGCTCGTTCCTCGAAGCTTTACACTCCGGTTCGCACCTGTCGGTGACCTCGTTCTCCGGGTGGTTCGCTATCAAGACGCCGCCCAGTAGAATGTTGTTCTCCTTGGTGGTGACGATTTCGTCGCGATCTTGCGTTTCGTATACCTCCGGTACTTTCACCAAGTTCTTGGTGTTCTTGTCGGTCATGACTACCAAAATGGTGTCGTTGTCTTCCAGCGGATCCGGGTTTTTGTTGCGCTCGCTCTCGATGATGGGCGGATCTGTTTCGCGTATGATGAAATCTTCGTCGTCGTAAACTTGTGACGAGTCCACGAAGGCTTCGGTATAATTGTAAACGGCCGGTCTTATGACCAGCGGGGGATATTGAGTATTGTGTAGCACCGGGTTAGGGTGCATCGAATTTTCTTGTTTTACAGTTGTAGTAATCGTTTCGTAAATACTAGTAGGTTTGACTAAAGTGTGGATTTCTGTAACTGTTTCTACTATTGTACTCATTTCGGTTTTGGTGACTAAAATAGTTAAAGTAGATGGAGTCATTCCCATCGATTTCACCACGGTGGTTTTCGTTATGGTGACAGTCGCTGTTTTAGTGTGCGTTATATACCTGGTTGGTATTTGGATTTTGCTCCTGCTTTCGTCGAAAACAGTTCTTATCCTGTTTGGTAGAGGTTTAGTAGCTTCAGGTACCGCTTTGATTTCGTTACCTGCGTGATGCAGTAAAACTTCACTGCTGGACAATTCGATTTTAGGTTCGGGTTTTGTAACGGGTGGTTGGTGAGAAGAGGACTTTACGGTACTGGTTTCGAATTTTTCCTCTTTTTGTCCGATGATCACTTCCAGAGAAGGCTTTATTTTTAAGGAAGGAGAAGGAGTGATTACTTTCTTGGGGGTGGTAGTACTGGGTTTGTGAGTTGTAGATCGACGCGTGTACGGTCTTCTAGTTCTTAGTTTAGTCGTGGATTTTTCAGTGGAATAGTTTGGAGTGGACGACGCAGGTGGAGGCGGTACCATACCAATAACGTTATCCTGTTTATTAGGAGGCGGTAACATACCGACAACATTTTCTTCCTTTTTCTTCGAAGGTACTTTAATAGTAGGCGGTACCATACCAAAAACATTTTCTTTCTTCTCATTAGAAGGAGGTTTAGTCGGTGGTATCTTCACAATAACGTTCTTCTTAGGAGGTAATTTCACTGTAGTAGGAGTCGCTGCAGTACTTTCAACGGTCGGTGGTTTCATTACCTCCATGTCAGAAATTACCGGCACCGGTACTTCCCCAGTATTCAAGTTCATATCGACGGGTCGTTCCGGTCGTTCGCTCGTAGTCGTCGTGGGTTTAGGAAGGGCGATATCCTTGCGGATAATTTCGTTGGATGAAATTGTTTTCGATGGAACTCCGGAGAAGGGTTTCTCGGTTTGGGTACCGCCGTACTTACCGCCGAACAGTACGTCTTTGTTAATGGCTACAGACGTCACCGCCGGTCGATCTCTGTTGTTAAACTCTTTGCGTTTGTTGATAGGCAATGAAGTTACAGCCGGTCTATCGTTGTTGAAATGCACATGGGTATACACGCGCTCTTTACTGGTGGTACCTATCGATGGACGTTCGCTGGAAGTTTTCTCTTTGAACGAATTAATCGGCAACGAAGTTACGCTCGGTCTCTCTTTAATTTGCTTGTTGAAGAATGTATCTTTCGATTGCTGTTTCTCGTCTATGAATATCAGTACCGGCTTCACGTTGTTAACGTCGTTAACAGGTACTACTTCGTGGCTGCCGATGGCGAAGCTGTTGTAGTTTTCAGTTGGTTTGTTCGTCGTGGATTCCGTATTGGACTGTACCCGTATGTGTTCTACGGTTCGTTGCGTGCTGGTGGAGGTCGCTAAATATACCTCGTATGGTACTTCTCCAGGTCTGAGCGGTCTGTCGTTGGATTCCTGCACGACTTCGCCGTCCTCGGTTTCCAAATCGTCGGATTCCGCTGGATACCTCACCTCATAAATGGGAAAAGACGGCTTGAAATCGATGGGAGTGGTGGTGAAAGGTTGCGGTGGTACCGATATTGGAATCGGCCTTTTAGTCTTCCAGTTGTACGGTCGCTTAGTCGGCGGCGTCATATATTCCGGGATATTCACGTTGGGTCTAACAACGTTCTTTTTGTAAGTACCGTAGTACTTGTTGGTGAAATTTCTCGGTAGGATTTCGTCGTGGTTGATGACGTGCGCGTTGAAATCCGCCCCGTGGTGGATCATGCCGTAAGATAGCGGCATCGGAGGCGGCGACGGCGGTACCATGTTTACAATCAAATTGTTCGGTGCCTGCGCTTTATCGGTACTAACATCGCGGTGCTCGATTAGTTGATTTTCCACTTTTATAACGCCGTTCACCCGCTTCTGGTTCGGCAAATCCGGTTGGTATATTTTCGGTGCGACCTTGTTGATGTCGACGTGTTGATAGGGGGACGGATCGTCGAAGTACTGGCCGTTTTTGTGCGGTTCAGTGGACCCGCCGTAAATCAAGGCTGTGGTCCTGTTGAAGGGGATATTCACGAAGGCCACCTGGCTGGGCTGGATGTTCACCAACAAAGGTTGTCCCGTGGATCTTTCTATAATTTCCGGTAGCACAATGGGCTCGTTTTGGATGCGCGTTAGGATTTTAGCTTCGTCGATTTTCGGATAGACCGCCGGTCGGTACTTCTCCGGTACTTCCGGTTCCGGTTTTTGTACGTAGACCGGTTTTTTAACGTTTTGTGCGTAAACGTTATCTTCGTGTTTGTGAGCGTGGATCTGTTGGTTGTAACGATTGTGGTTCGGGATGTAGTTTTTGGCGTAATTCCCGTTGATTTCGTTAGATTTGAAAGGTTTCTGCGGTACCCGAGGAGGCGGCCCGATGTAATCGCTGTTACCGTTCACCGGTATACGTTTGTAATCGTAGTTACTTTTAGGTTGAGGCGGCGGAGGCGGCGGTTTCATGCCTATAGGTATCTCGTTCTCTTGGGTAACTTGGTGAAGGGGAATCGATGGTATCCTCGGTAGAATCCTGCCGGGTTTACCCACTATTACGTCGGAGTTAGTAGTGATGATTTCACCCGGTGATATCGGAATACCATTGCTGATAATCGACATTTCGTGCGGGTTGATCTCTTTGTTATTGGATTGCTTATCGACCCATTCGAAGGTGGCGATGTTCTGGCTCTCCGCTATTTCGAAATCGTCGTCCATTCCTCTCACCGGTATGTAGATAGGCGATCTGCTTTGCACGTCTTCCGCTATTCCAACTCCTGTATCGCTTTTGCTGACGTTCACGTCGCTTTTCCTATTGGCTTTCAGATTGGTTGATATTAGACCGGCCATGGCGTTTAAAACTGGTGCTATCGCTTTGATGTTGATGGAGCCCAGTCCGAGTAAATCCTGCGATTGCGTGGAAGACTTGACGGTGGTTTTCGTGGTTTTTGTTTTAGATGGTTTGATGGCGGTGCTTTGAGGTTTAGTTTTGGTTTTGGTGGATCTTTTGGGTTTGTTGATTTTCGTTGATTTTAACACTGGTGTTGATGTGAGTAACTGAGCGAAAGGATCGTCGTCGACGAACACTATAGTGGATCCTGTTATGATGTTAGATGCTGATGAGTCCACGATGTCGGGCATTTGGGTTTTTTCAATCGGTTGTACTTTGGTAGGGGTTATTTCCATTTCGTCTGCTACGGCTGTTATCTCGAACGTTTCGCCATTGTATAAACTGATAGTTTTAACCACTGACTTGGCTCCTTTGTTAATGGCGTTTTTGATTTGCTTCAAATTGGCTTTGTCCAACAAACTCAAATCGACAGTTTCCGATACTAAATTTTGAACAACGCTCGTTCTCGAATTCACGATGGTCGGCGTTTCCTTGTTATCGTCTTGCAACAATGTGGTGAAGTAAGTAAATGTGGTGAGATACGATTTCGTGGTGTAAATTTGGAAGTTATTCACGGTAGTTTTGGGTATGATATACAGCTTCTCCGTAATCACATCACTAGAAACCGATGTGTTCGTGTGTACCACCTGCTGGTTATCCACAGTAACAGTATCGTGGTAAGTGTATGTAACGAAATAAGTTTTAACAATATCAGTTGTTACGTAGGAAGCGTCTGGATTATCATTGACATCCAGAGCAATATAAGAAGTCATCACCGAAGTAGCTCTAGGTGGCACGCTCTCCGTTATAACAACTTGCGTTACAACTTCCTTGGTGCTCGTCACCGAAGTTTTATTACCTTCGTACAAAGTCTTCTCGAGACCGATTGTACTATAGTAGGTGTTGGTATCTTTAACAGGCGATAGAGTTTCTGAACTTTTCACCAAAGCTAGGTAATCATCAGGAGCTGTTACTGTATTCGTTACGGTGTGCTTCGAAGACACGACCAAAGGTTGGTCTCCTTCTAGGATCGTATTCAAGTACGTGTAAGTCGTATGGAAGACCCCCACCGATAAATTGGGATACTGAAAAAGCAATAAAGAGCTAGAACCTTCACATCGAATCGATTCACTTTGATTACGATGAGTTAGTGATAATTAAATGAGTTCTCTACCTGGGTGAGCACGACTCCGACGGCTGGCGTTGGTAGAATCTTACCGGTATTTCTTTCTTCTGTCGCTATATTGGACACCACCTGCTCGTGGCTGGACACTGTCGTCGTACCGCCCTCCAAAAATGTTGTTAGATATGTGAATGTTGTTAGGCAAGTTTTAGTGATGAACTGGTTGGGGTACAATGATGAAAAGCTTTCGATCTGAAATGTGCCGTGGAACTTATAACTAAATCTAGCGAAAAAAGTGTGTTTCCTTGGTCCAAGGACCATAGTCCATGATCCAAGATCGACGTGGTCAATGGTTAAAGATATTTGCTCCATTCACCACTGGTATATTAAAAATGGGTCGATAAATGATTAGAGTACTCACTTCAGTAGATTCCTGCGGTACCATCATGACCACGTGATCAGTCAAAGTGCTGGCTTTCAAAGTGACAGGTCGTTGGGTACCGGCGGTCAATAGACGTTTGAAGTCTTTGTCTCCCGGTGCTGTTTTATCTCCTGCCACGATGACCTCGACTCCATTCGACATGACTCTGGTCGCCAGATTTCTGGCCTCGTCCGCGTTACGTATTCGGTCATCTAAACAAGTCGGTAAAAATTCGATCAAACTCGAGTAATGTTCGATTGGCGCGAAACGAAGAAATAGGTATTTACATGGATTGTTAAAATCGAAACTTGAAATTTTTTGTACATAAACGAACAAAAACAAAACTTAACTGAAAGATGTTTGATTTATTTATATTTAGAATGTTTATCGTCGAGCAGAAAATCTGAGTGGTATCTTCAAATGATACTGCATCAAGCCCAAGAGAAGAATTGGGAAAAAAGTTGTTGCATCAGATTATTCTGCTCAACGATACAAAACAAAATAATGAAGTAAATTTATACAAAAGCTCCTACTCACCTTCGGAAAGAGGTTTTTCCAGTACGGGAATAATGGATGATTTTGTATTGGTTAGGGTATTGGTAGCGTCTATGTCTAAAAGAGTCAGAGTCGTAAGTTTGGTAACGGTTTCTGTAACAACAGACGTCTTTGTGTGCGGTCTGACTTCTGTGGTCGATGTTACGATCTGCTCATCGCCAGCCACTCTTGTTACCACGAACGTGTATGTCCTCTGTCGGCTGTTTAGGATCGTCTTTGTCAAATGTTCGATAGAGGTGATCACGGTGGTTTTGAGTAGGATAACGGGAGCGTCTAGTGATTCTGTGAGTTCTGGGAAGTACGGCTCGTACTCAGGTATTTCTTGGAATATGGCTTTATTGTTATCACCGCTAGTGGTAACTCTAGCTTTTTCGGTTGTTGTTGAATTTGTAGTTTCACTTATGATTGGTGTATCGTCGTTTTGTTGCGAAGTGGTGGTGATATCTTCAGTTGTGGTTTGTTCTAGTTCTTTAGTAGTGGTTATTTCATCAGTTGTGTTATGTTGTAGTTCTGTAGTAGTGGTTATTTCATCAGTTGTGGTTTGTTCTAGTTCTGTAGTAGTGGTTATTTCTTCGGTTGTGGTTGGATTTTCGTCGGATTGGTAGTAAAAATCTGATTCCTTTAAAGTAACGAGCTCCTGGGGAGATGATTCCGTGACATCTTCATCCAGGTCGATTTCGTTTTCTTGCGACGTGTCTTCGTAATCGTTAATAATCGTGTTGTAATCGTCATTAGGATTTACTCGAGTACTGGTTATCGGTATTTCAGTGTTGTTCGGGTGAATCAGACGTTTCCTCGTTACGACTATTCGTTTACGAGGTCTCGTGGGTTGTTCTAAGTGATGATCCGTGTAATCATCTTCAATTTTCGCGCCCGTTTGAAGTTTCCTTTTCTTCTTTTTGATCTTCAATCTTCTACGTTTGGGCGATTTTTTAGTGGTGGTTTCTACATCGGCAACTAACTGCACGCGAACTAATTTTTTGACTACTCTATTTTCCCGTTTTCTCCTGGTGTTAGTGTTTGAATGGCCCCCTTGTGTTAACGTTTGGTCGACCTTTGGCATTAAGGGGGTTACTCTGCTAAGGTCACTTACGCTAAAAAATCATCGGAGCTTCGAGTTTGCTTCGTGGCGGCGAAATGCTTCGATACGTCTCCGATAATGCTCTCTAAGCTTTCCGTTTCTTTCACCACTTCCGACGATTCCAACGCTATTGAGTTGTCAAACGCGCTCTCCTCCGTATTAAGTATCAGTTGAGGTGTAGATATCGACTCGGTTTTTACATTTCTTCTGTTCCTATTGGCGTTTTCTGCTACTACGGTGGATAAGACAGTGGTGAATTCTCCTGGTGTTCTACCGGATACGTACAAAGTTATTACACTAGTTTCTACAGGTTTGTTCTTCTTGGGTTTCCTTTGCCTGGAATTGACTACTTGCTCTTCTATCACTTCTTCTTCTTCCACTTCGGCTAGATTGAATTTTTCCGGTTCTTGGTAATTAACATGTTCGTTCGAATTCAAATTCAATAACCCGGCGGGTATTTGTTGAGCCTGCTGTTGTTGCAATTGCTGCTGCAGCAGCGGCAAAAGCAGAGCAGTGTTCAATTGTTGCGGTTGATAACCCAAAGTTGGCGTAACTGTTACAGTATCGGTGAGAAATTCTGTAGCTGTAACCACCATAACGTTAGTATCGATGATAGTGGTGAGAATTTCTTTGCCTCTGAACGTTAACGGTACTATCGTGGAAGTTTCGCTGGTGACTGTTGTAACGTAGGTGGTGGTTCTCGTTTTGAGTTCTGTTGTAGGAGTAATCGGTACCAAGCCAGGCTGTTGGTGGATTTGTTGCAGACCCAACAAGGCTGGGTTAGGTTGCTGTTGAATACCTCCCAATAGTAGCTGAGATAGCAGGATGTTAGCTAAAGGTGCTTGTGCAGCTAGCGGTTGAATGGTGTTCACTACCGGCTCGACTTCGTAGATTGTGCTGGGTATAACGTGAGAAAATGAGGTTTTCCTTCTGTTAATGTAGGTGGGAGTGAATACAACGCTACTCGTGGGGGTTTCTTTCAAAACGTATTGGGTGATTAATGTGGCTCCGTTAATTATATCGGTGTTTTCGCTTAGCAAAATAGTGACGCCTTTACCAAGAGCATTTACTGATGTAGTATATTGATTAGGATTCAATACCTCCGTGCTGTATTTAGCTGTGACGATATTCTTGTATTCAGTTACCTTTCCGTTAACCACCGGTATGGTTACCTCTGTAGGAATTTGTCTCGTTACCGTAATGGTACCATCGAATTTTTGTTTGACTTGGTTGTCGTTTTCCGGATCGCTTTGTTGTCTTTGCCTGCCTCTGCTGCTAGTCCTGCTGCTTTGCCTGTTATTTGTAGTTGTTTTTCTGGTTGTTTCGCTTTGGTAACTTGTTGGTACTCGTTTGGAGTATCTCGAGTTAGTGTTTCTCGTTGACGCGCTTCTACTTCTAGAAGTACTACTTTTACTACTCGTGGGTCGTTTAAAACCAGTGTCTCTCAAAGTAAACTGCGTCCTGCTTGAAGAAGATACCTTACTGGGTATAATTCTTTTCCTGGGAGATGAAGTCGTGGTGGTGGTGGTAGTAGTACTGCCCCTGTTTTTATTGTACCTACTTCTTTTCGGTTTATGGGTAACTTCTTCTGTCTCTTCCTCGATCGTGGATTGCGTTGTTGTAGTGGTAGGTCGCCTGAATCTCGAGTAAGTAGCTCGCTTGGATCTTCTCCTGAAGAATGGTTTGATTTGAACACCTCTATTTTTAGTAACTGGTTTCTCTGTAGTGCTTGTAGTAGTAGGCGGATTGACGGTTTGGGTGTTTCTCAGAGAACTATCGTAATCGGTATCATCTTCTTCTTCTTCTACTAAATCCTCGTTGTCTTCGACGATTTCCTCTTCTTCGGGAGCAGCAGTAGTGGTGGTAGTGAACAATCCTCTTCTGGGAAACAGGGCGTTCGATCTAGATCTGTTCAATAAACTGTTGGCCCTAGTTGTTCTAGGTCTGCTAGTAGTACTTGTAGTGGTAGTGGCAGGTGTTGTCGCGCTTTTACCGGATTTTGTAGTCCTCGTAGCCGAAGGACGCGTCAAAGGCGGCCTCCTAAATTTCAGCAAAGGATTTTGACTGCGCCTCGTTGATGCTTCAGTGGTACCTTGCACGTCCAACGTGGTCTCGCCTCCTTCCTCGTTGGGTTCTTCGGTAACCAACGTGGTCAGATTGTTTTCATCCTCAGGGGGAGTTTCGGTAACGGCTTTCGAACTGGGCGATCTCAGCAAACCAGATGCCAGCGTCGGCCGAATTCTGAGCCTGCTGGACCTGTTCAAAGCGCCCGCCGCGCTGGAGGTCCGGAATCCGCTTCTTCTGCTGCTCGAATTCAACGTAGAAGACGGTTGTATACGCGAAGAGGATCCTCTCCTGTTGAATCCGGATGTTGTGGAAGATTTAGTTCGAGAAAACCGCCGGCTAGTGCTGCTGGGGTTGATGCTAGACGAGGATCTTCTACCGCCGAAACGGTTCGTTTTAGACGAAGCTGGAACGGCGGTGACTGTAGGAGTGAAATCGCTTCTGGTAATGGTCGCTGCAGTGCCTTGGCCTAGTTGTTTGCGTTTCGGTGCAAAGGAAGGCCGCTGTCGCGATGCGAAAGGTCGTATAGCCGGTGTAAATGTGCGTTTCTTCGATTGGAAGGTAAGCCTGGACTTACTTTTATCATCGTTATCGTCTTCATCATCATCGCTCTCGTCGGATTCTTCGTCTTTGTTTTCGTTAAAGGAACCTTCTATAGCGACAGGAGATGGTGAAGTGGTGACTAATTGAGTGTTGGGTATAGCTTTATCGGCACTCAGAGTTGAGGCTGGAGTAATGCTAGCCGCGGCCTCAGTCAGAAAACTGGATGTGCTCTGTATAACTTGCGCGTATCTCCCATCTATGAAAGTACCCAAAACATTGGATTCGTAGAATGTGGTCGTTTTGTTTTGCACGATAGAACCTTCGATGTGTCTCACCAATCCTGTTCTGTGAACTACTGGCAAATCCGCCGGTAGAGCCGATTTCTTGGCTTCGTCGATAGCCAAGGAACTCGTGCTTTCGATAACTTGTGCGTATAAGTTATCGATGTAAGTTCCGATAGCTTGCGTTTGGTAGAAGAGAGTACTGACGCCTTCGGCGTCTACTATTTTTCCTTTGTTGATGCTGACAACTCCGGTAGGTTTCAAAGTTTCTGAAGCTTGGATTTTCGAAGCGTTTATTTGGGTGGTAAGGATACTGGAAGTGCTTTCTAGTACTTTGGCGTACAAACCGTCTATGTAAGTACCGTAAACGTCCGTGGAAAGTAGCGTAGTCGTACCGTTGTTTTCGATAGTATTTAAAATCGTTGATATTAATCCTGTTGGTTTGATAGTACTCGTGATGTCAACTTTATTTTTATCGTTTGATCCAATTGCTCTGCCTATGTAATTTGTGTCTATGTCAGCAGTGTTGTTGATTACATTGGTTACTGTTTCTAATCGACTGTTTAATACAGTACTATTGCCTATGTAAGAAGTCGTGTAGTAAGTGTAGGTCGTGAAATAAGTTGTTAATTCATCGTCTCCTACAGTTTGTGGTTTGCTACTCTCAGAATCCTCTTCCATAGAAGTTTCTAAATTGTGCACGGCAGTTTTCTCGATAAACGGTACGGTGCTGGTGGCTTTAATGGAAGCAGTTTCCACGTTGGTAACTGTTTCTTCTCTGCTCGTAATTTTGGTAGTACCTTCCTTGTACAGAGTCGTCCAGTAAGTAAAAGTAGTGAAGTACGTGACAGGAGCATTTGGATCCTCCGTAGAGGAAACTTCCTTCATCTCCTTCGGTTCTAGAGTCTGCGTGACGACGTTGGTGACGGTCTCCAACCGACTAACGACGTTACTGGATGTGGTACCTTGGTACATTGTCGTGAAGTAAGTAAACGTCGTGTAACTAGTTTGCAACAGCAGAGTTGGGTGCGGGGTGATTTCCGATTCATTGTTAGATTCGGAAAACACTTGATCGTCGAGTAGTACGTTTCTTTTGCCTACGTTGTCGATGATTCTTCTGTCGCCTTCTGAAGTTGAGCTGCGTACATCTGTTACCATTGTGGATATGGTCTCGTATTCGCTCAAATCTAACGTGTCGTTAATTTCGTTGCTTTCCGTAGTGGTGACGGCTTCTTCTTGCTTGTGCCTGTTTATTGTGTTGTAGGTTGTTCCTGGTTTGATTTTCGAGAGCAGTTTGATTTTCTTCGCCACGTAGTCGTCGCTATCGTCCGGCGATTGAGTATTCAGAATCTCTTGTTGTACACCAGAAGGAGTCACGTAGTTCGTGTATACTTCCGTCCTGCTGGATATTTCGGTTTCCCCGTCGACGAAGATGGTCGTGAAGTACGTGTAAGTGGTGTAGTAAGTTTTTACTCCTTCGGCTAAGATTTTGCTGTCGTCTAAACCGGGCGTAGCTTTGGAGGAATCTTGCGTGCCGGATTCGCTATCTAGCCAATCAGTTGAGGAATCGGTGCTGGTCGCTTTGATTGGATTAACGCTAGTTGGAGTAATATTAGCGAAATCGTCGAAGGTGACCGTTTTAGTTTTGTATTTACTGGTAGATTCTTCCATGTCCATGATACCTTCGACGGAATCTACGGAACTTTGAGCGTTTGGATCTAAAGTCGAGGATACTACGTTGGTGGTAACGATTGTTCTGCTGGCTATAGACGTCGATGATTCTTGGAAATAGGTTGTTAGGTAAGTGTAAGTGGTGTATAAGGTTTTGTAAATTATTTCCAACTCGTCGCCGTCTTCTGTCGTGGCTTCAGTCGTCTCCGCTTCGGATTCTGTCACGTGGTATTCCTCCGTGGTGATTTCCGATGTGGTGGTTTCGATTTGCTTCGTTGTGGTGAGAATTTCTTGCTCTGTGGTGGGTTTTTCGGTTTCAGTTTCCGTGGTGGTTTCTACGTTTTGTTCAGTAGTGATTATACTTTCGGTGGTGGTGCCCATTTGGCAACTTTTGGTTTGTAAACCTAGTTCGGACGATACTACTAAATTCGATCTAACCGAAGTGGAAGTACTGCTTTCGTTTGGAATGAAGAATGTAGTTAAATACGTTAGAGTTTTGTAGGTTGTTGTTGGTACGATTTGAACGCTTCCCGTACATTCTGCATCTTCGGTAACGATTTCTTCTTCGTTTTCTGTTGTTGTTATTTCGTTAGCCGTTGTTAGTAGCTCTTCAGATTCTGTAGTGGCAGTTATCGTTTCTTCAACTTGCGAATGTTTGGTCGATGTTGTTTGGATTGGTTCATCATCGAAGAAAATTGTTGTTTTACCGCCTGTACTCGACGTAGTTTCTTCCACGGTTGATTTTTGTTCCAGCGCTTTAAGGGAAGCGAATATTTTGGCGATATCTTCGTCAGACGGTGTGGACAACATTGGGATTTGGGTTTCTGAAGCTTGTATAACATCAGGTGAAAATGTTACGGTTTCTTGGCCTTGCTCGTGGGCGAGAACTGCCGATTTGGCGTCCATGTTAACCTTTTCATCGGCTAACTGGCTTTTGGGATCTCTAATTCTATCGGTTTTGTCTATAACCATGGTGGCTATAGTAGTTTTCATGTCCAAATCGGGACCTTTGAACGTTTTGGTTTCCATCGGCGGTTCCTGAGATAAATAAGTTAGAACTTTAGTCATCAATGGTGGTTCTAATAAAGTTGTCGTGGGGTTAATGGTGCTTTCGATTTTAGGTAGTCGTTTGCTCTCCTTAACCATATTCACTGGTTGTGTTGTATGAGGTGAGAATATTATCACGGTATCTCCTACTGTCGTGGTGAAATCTGCGAAACCCGTGTAAGTAATAGAAGTTAATTCACGTGCGTTTGGCTTGGTTAAACCGGCCTTGAGCAGGAACTTAGCTTTGCGTTCCGCAGGAGTCGTTAATTTGGATCTCTCGGTGCGTTGTTCAAACTCCGGTATGTCCCCCAAAAAGGACAATCCCGATGGAGAAAATTCGTTCCTGACCGTAAACGTAGGCAGTTCATCCCAAGGACGAACTTTAGAAGGAATAAATTTCTCCTTGGATTCTTTGTGAATTATAACGTTCTCCTGCGTTAAGTCCGCCACCTCCGGAGTGATTTTAAACACTTTTACATTATCATACGGCACTCTGAAATTATTCGAGGATTCTTCTTTCAATATTTCCTCCTCCTGCGATTTCGGTGTTACTTGCTGGACATTTCCAGATTCTTCTTTCTTCTCGTCGACTAACACGTTAGGCAAAACGAAATCGATGCTGTTTATGAACGGTTTGGTGTTCAACGAGCTCTCTTTTACGTTCCATTTCTTATTATTATTATTACTCTCGTAGCTTTTCGATTGACTGCCGTCATCGTACAGCACCCTGGAGCTTTTCGATAACAAATGGGCGTACAAACGGCCGTTATCCAGGGTGGTACCGAGCACCTGGGTGGCGTACTCGGTCGTGATGCCATCCTGTATGAAAGTACGAGCCGTGGAGGTAATGAGACCGATATCGGGTTTAACGTTTTGGTACCGTCCGAAGGATGATCTCCCGCGACTATCCACCAGCAGTACAGTGGTCACATCTATATAGGGAAGGAGGGAAATTTGTAAGTAAGTACCACAATCGATAGATAGAAATTCGAAAATTTTATCGTACAGTAATTTACATTGTTTGGAAGCTGGTGCTATATGAGGTGAATTTGGTTCGATTCCGTCTTTTGTACTACATAGACTGGGTTCGATTCAAGTATTCAACATATATAGCAAAAAAAAATCGAGTAAAACCTCGGAATGGGCTTTGTCCCTTGGCCCTTCAAGAGAGGAGATATAAAATCTCGGAATGGGCTGTGTCCCTTGACCCTTTAAGAGAGGTAAAAATATATCCGTGAATCAGTGACCTCTGCAATGTTATCTTTATAGGGACATTTTTTCCGTGTAATTGGAAAAGTGCATTGTTTTTCCGGATGCGCGGCCGCCTACATTCCTCGACGAACGATCGTGCGTTGAATTCGGGACGCACTGTAAACGCACGAGAATATAAAAAAAAATCTAACATCGATTCGGAACTGTTCGATGTTAGTGTGTCACCTGGTATTCGTACGACGAACATTGCACAATTTTAAAACCGGTAATAGAAGAACAACCGTAATTGGCGTGTTATTTTTACTCGAAATGTCAAGGATCTAAAAATCTTACTTTGCTCAATTGAACAATTCAGTTCCCCCGGAGCGTTGGGTTGATTTAAATCGAGTTAAAAGCAAATGGAATAGATTTGAGTGGTAGATGAACGGTTGGGTAAAATGGAAAGCCGTTGTCGTTGAGGTGAATTTGCATTAGAATTTGAAATTTTAGAAATTCATTTGCCGGTTTTACTCGATTTTTTTCTTTACTTTAATTTACACCGAGATTAAAAAATAAACAAGAACTACATCGATAAATTTATAGCGTTTGATGTTTGTCATACATTAAATAATTCTTTACAAACTTTACATTTATTAGGTAATTAATTCGATTTTTTAAAATTATTTTTATTAAATTAGTTTTAATACATATGTACACTGATAAACCTTTATGCTAACAAAAAGAAGTAGATAATCGAAAGAAATAGTTTAAAATACAGGGTGTTATGTAAATACTATTATAGACTAAACGTAAATTCCCATTATTTATTTTACACCCTGTATAGTTAAGAATCGAGGAAATTTTCAAAATTTTTACATCCTATATTTACAGCATACTGATATTAGATAAAGTAACAAAAACGGAATAAATTTTCGATATCAATATTGCACCAAATACAAACACGAAAACTATTGACAATTAATATTTACAATGTTTATATTTGATGTACAAAGAAAAAAATAACGTTAGTACGACTCAATTTACACATTTTTTTCTTTACAAATCCTGTTTTGTTATTTAGAGCAGATCACTTACCTTTGTCGTCGAATTGCTTCAATCTAGGCGTCTCCTGAATATTATATTGTTGACCTGAAATTAAAAAAAAATAATTTAATCTTTAATCGTAGCCAAAATATTGTGAGATACCCGCTCATTTACCCACTAGTGTCCCTATCGATATTATTTCCTTGAATTAGATATGCTTTCTGTTTGTTACTCGAACGTTTTTAATCGTTTACAGCCTTCAAGGTAATGAATATTGATTATTGAAAATAATTGGTTTTATTAAAACGACACGTAATTATATAACGCAGAAGTAATTAATATTTCCTCATTACTTCTTGCGTAAGTTTGTCAATAAGTTATTAAACGATTTAAAATATTTGACAGGCACGTCAAGTGTCATTAAATTGACAGTAATGGCGTTTGATGTACGTCAAAACGGCGTCAAATCTAACTTTCAATTACATCCTTTTGGTTAATTAACACGAAACGAATAAAACAAACAATCGGTTTCATTCATCGCAAACATTACGTTTGTTTTGTTTGTACGATGTCGATGAACCATTTCTAAATTAGAAAATCGGCAAAATCGTGTCAATAATTTCACAAAAAAAAATTATCTTTCTCTCGCTCGTTGAGCCTTCGTAAAAGTAAAATCTTAATGGCAATGTCGCCGGCAAGAATTTCGTTTTCTCCCAACTTACTTCGCCTTTTTTTTGTTGTAATCATTATTAACATTTCAATCGATTCGAACAAGAAATTTTTACTTTCTTCGTTAGTAATCTGGTTAGTGAACCCGAATTTTTACAATACAGGAAATTATTTTTACGCATAAAAATTGTTCATTTAGAAGGGTAAGGTGTAAAGTTTTCGACCCGAGAATGAAAGACTGCGATTTTCAGTTGAAAAATTACATTATTCTTCTTATTATGTTAAAAATAGACAGTTTTAAGTGATTCTGGAGCGTTCTAAATGGTTCTAGACAGTTTTAATTGATTTTGGAGCGTTCAAAATGGTACTGAATCGTTCTAAAATCGTTCTAGACGGTTCTATAAATGGTTCTGAAGTGTTCCAAATGGTAGTAGACAGTTTTAATTGATTTTGGAGCGTTCAAAATGGTACTGAACCGTTCTAAAATCGTTCTAGACGGTTCTATAAATGGTTCTGAAGTGTTCCAAATGGTAGTAGACAGTTTTAATTGATTTTGGAGCGTTCAAAATGGTACTGAACCGTTCTAAAATCGTTCTAGACGGCTCTATAAATGGTTCTGAAGCGTTCCAAATGGTACTAGACAGTTTTAAGTGATTCTGAAGCGTTTTAAATGGTTCTAGACAGTTCTCAATAATTCTGAAGCGTTTAAGATGGTACTGAACCGTTCTAAAATGTTTCTAGACAGTTCTAAATGTTTCTGGAGCTTTCTAAATATTTCTGAAGCGTTTTAAATGGTTCTAGACGGTTGTAAACGATTCCGGAGCCTTCTAAATGGTTACCGACTGGTCTAAACGATTCTGGAGCGTTTTAAACGGGATTCTGGATCGTTCTAAACGGTTCTAAGGTGCGTGCGTTCGTGAACATCGTTTCCGTCGAATTCGCTTAGAAAGGAATATTTAAAACCAGGAATGTGTGTTTCTGGGTGTAAGTTCACCGCGTATTGGGTGTGACTAACTTTCATAATCGACGGACCGCCCGAGGACACTTCTCACGGATTCCGAGGCTTCTCATTCTCGTTCTAATTGCGCCCGGCGCGGCGCGAACAATGCCCGGGCGAATCGCTCGCGCTCGCCCGCGGGGGCGAACATTCGCCCGAATGCCCGACTGCGCGCCGTGCCGGATCCGCGCCGTCATGGTTTTCCACTTGTCGACTTGTCGAACGCGTTTTATATAGCAAAACCGCCGGTGACGACGACGGCGGTCGTAAAGAAACACACAGCCCCGGGGGCTAGTCAACTGACCGACTCTCCATTGGCCTACATATCAACGAGTGTCCATCGATAGTCGTCGAACCAAACGGATTAAGGATTGGTCTTGTCTACCTCTCCTCTTAAATCGCTAATATAAAAAAAATTACGATCGGTTTTACAGGGCGAAACCTTTACCTCTGCTACTTCATTAATGCACCAGCTTTAAAGTTTTTTTATTCTAAGGGATGTTTTATTTAAAACTACTCCTTCTTAATCAGCTATACTATGCTCACTATAAGTCTGCGATTACGTCATGAAATTCTCTCATTGCATATACAGGTATTATTTGCATTTGCCTAATTAGAGTTGGAATAAGGCGAACGTAATTTAGCTACTGTTAGGCATAAAATTCATATTGTTAGCATGCAAAATCTAACGGGATTTCGCGTCTGCATAAAATATCGGTCGAACCAGGGGATTTTACAAGTAGATGAATTACCACATAATATAACCGGAATAACGTGCTATTACAATCGTTACAGTTTCGGCGTACGTGACATTTTCCGAAACAATGTGCGATTTGAATAATGGCTTAATGTGTATACAGGGTGGTCTGTTGGGAGTTGCGTCATCTAAAAAAAAACGAGGCGAAATACATCCTGGCTCGGTGGAATGTCTTATATAAACAAACCTGTAATGTACTCCTTATGCGTCAGCTTAATATGTATTTGCGTGTAATGGAGTTCTGCAAGCTGAATACCTTTCACTCGTTTTCCTTGAGGTGTATCGTACTTACCTGCTAAATAGTTTCAAATTTGTCGATAAAAAATTGAACATGAACATACACCAAAAAAATGTTGTGTAACAAATATTTGGTACACCCGGTATATAGAGTTAATAATGTCGATTCAGGAAACACCATTTCGGTTATTTAACGAGCGAACGTACAGTTAGAAAATGATTTGGCGAAGTAATAAAAAATTTTAATTATTTCTATTTCAAATTCAATTTTATTAAATACCTGCGTGTTTACTAATAAACACCGTCGGATAACCTTTGAGTATTATTATTTTTTCTAATTGCAATTCTCTTTTGCGTTTACTTCCTTTCGTTCGGCCATCGAGTGTTGTGGTAAATTCATTTTATAACTTTTTGCGGTCGGTTATATTAGTTATTACGTTTCGAATATTATTATTTAACAGAAACGGAGACGCGTAGAAAGCTTGGAATTGAAAAATTTTTATTTTTTAGGACACAATCTGTGATGTATGCATTGTAACGTTATGTTAATTAATCGAACATCTGTTTTTTTACATCTATTTACACGGTGGATAACTATTTTTTGCGAAGGAAATAATTACTAAAAAAGTTACTAGATACATGACAAGGTACCAACTTAATTATTTTTTGCAGTATTTCCCCTATTTAAAAATTTCTGCTCGATCGAACAGCCAAATAAATAATAACAAACTAATCCAACGGCTGCCTTGGAAAGTATTTAAATTAGCGTATCGCATTTTGCATTGGTGACCCACAATACTTTCTCTTGTCGAATAAATCCGAAGCTAATCTCATTTAAAACGAATTATTACTATTAACGACTGCATTCATCGAATAATAGATTATTTAAATCCACGTCAATTCCGACTTATGTCTACAGGGGGATGTAGTTATGTTAGCTTGTTTATTATTTCACCCTGTATATAATTCGGTGATTAGATAGAGATTGCTATATGTGGTGTGTCCTATGCATATGCATAAGTTAATGGATATTTGCGTTATGCATAGATAGAAAATTAAAATGCCGGCCCTCCCTTTACATCGACTCGAAGATTATACCGACCTTGCATAGCTCGAGGAATGTAGATCGAAATTAACATAGTTCTCCGCAATAAAATGACGTTTCGAAAAATGCCCGGCGTTGCGCATATTCCGATCGATCCGATTGATATAGCCGGCTGTCGATCGATGATCACGATATGATATAATTTCGATTTTTTTCCATCCATCCGTACTCCTTCTAATCGAGCATTACGCAAATGGAATATCCTTTCACTATACGTACGCGGCTGCAAGTAGGTCCCTTTTATAATCCATTGTTTCCATCATAATCCGCGGAAACGGCGCGATACGAATCTCCGTGTATTTTTCGAAAGTCCCATCTCGACAACAATACACGCCTACCCGGTGTATTGAGATTCTTCAGCATCAGGTGAATTTATATTGCTTCTAATCTAGCACAAAAATCATCCTGTAATACCAAAGAATCTCAATATGCGACAATCGCGGTTACCAACATGATTTTTGACAATCAGTGTCGCCAATATAATTTTTAATATTTACATCTTATTATAATTTAGCTGCCAATTATGCATAGGTTGATCTCACGCGCGTTCGAATAAATCTAATTGTATTCTCTGGGCAATTAACAGAACGATTGAACGAAAGAATCTCAATATGCGACAATCGCGGTTACCAACATGATTTTTGACAATCAGTGTCGCCAATATAATTTGTAATATGTACATCTCGTTCTAATTTAACTGCCAATTATGCATAGGTTGATCTCACGCGCGTTCGAATAAATCTAATTGTATTCTCTGGGCAATTAACAGAACGATTGGTCGCGGGGCAGGGGGATCGGCGCGGTTTGAAAAATGAAATTCGTCTTCGAAACGACTGACCCACATCTTCACCTCGTCGTATCCGTTTTTTTTTTGTTTACCGACTCGAATATCTCGTATAGCCGACTAACCGATTCCATTCGATTCGTCGCAATGCGAACTTGCGGGTTTCGAAATGAATGGCCGACCGGCCGGCGGAAAATCGCTTACAATAATTAACGAAAAGTACCGTGGATGCGTTCTTAATTGTATTTAAAAAAACTCGTTTCTTGGTTTTTATGAAACTTGTTGGGTAATGCGCGTAATAATATTAAAGTTGGATAATCGAAATTCTCCGCAAATTGCCTCATTTCCAACTGGGATGTGATTGTTCAGTTACCCACGGACTAGTTTTTAATTGTCACAAGTTTCATGTAAATCCGCCGCACTTTTTCCTCGCCACTATCGCGATCGTTATTACGATAAATTATTTTTTTGTCGCAATTATCTCGTGAAGAAAAAATGGTCGCGGCGTGCCCGAAGCTCGCGGTATGAACGCTAGAAAGTAAGCAATAAATGATGC